TTTCATAATTTTGGTTTAACTAGATAATTATGAAAATGTAACTCAAAAATACTAAATAAAATATTGAATATACTCAAAACTTACTAACGAAGATGTTCACAAAGTTTCAACATCAACGGAACGGAAGTCATATGAAGAAGTTGCGGAATCAAACGACTCATTACACAAAATAAAACAAGATGTGCATGTTTTCAGGCATTTGAATCATCAAACCAAACATATGGATTGTGAACCAGATGTTTGACATCTAGGACTGGACATTTGATCCTGAACGACAGAGAACCAAAACCAGAAAAAAATGAATGCAGAGACAAGCGAAATTCACTAGATGTCTGAAGCTTGAACCAGATGTCTGAAATATTGAACCAGATGCCTGAAATTTGGATCCAGTAAATTTTTCAGATTTCAACCTAGGGTCTTCTCGTACCTTTCTGATACTATTCTTAGGAATAATTTTCTATACCTTTTTTAATACAAAAATACAAATCTAGCATGCATTGCAATTATGAACATGGATCTTTGGTGTGCAAAAATAAGATTTTCACAATCTAGGATTCGATACGACTTCTTTAACACTTTATAAAACTTGGTATATTCATGGAAAATTAATTATGACAATTATTTCCAATACAAACTAACATAAAACTAGGTTTACTGTTTTTTCTCAGAATTCTATGGTTCTAAGGTTAGAAGAATCATATGTGCATGTTCTATATTGAAATTTCTATGTGTACACGATCATATAGCATACAAGAAAATATGGATTATCAACATGGATGGAAATACATTCAAGATTAAGAATTAAAATATATATAAGAATTCATGGTAGAAGAAAGAAAGTGGGTTCTTGCTTGAAGGTGTTTCTACTGAACAAGATGATCTCGAAGCTGATGAAAGATATGCAAAAAGCTGATGAAAGAAAATGGGTGCTTGCTTGAAGGTATTTTTTATGGGTGTCAAAAATCTAAGAATTCTAATATGTAAGGTTAGCTAGGAAAGGATTCTTAGCTTAAACTAATGGTTTGCCCGTTTTTGACTTAAAACCTGTTTAGGCTTTTAACACATAAAACCCTATAAAAAGCCTCTATTTTGATTGACTAGGATCAGAGATATTTTCAACTTATAAATAAAAATCGTCTCATCTCTCATTGTCAAAAAATCGATTATGGATTTTTTTTTTCTGGGTGTTACAGATATTAATGCAATCTAGGGTGTTACAGATTTAAACATCAAAACTTACAGAGGGACTAATAACAAGATATTAATGCAATCTAGGGGGCTAATATCAAATATAAAGGTTTTGAGAGAGTAATATCAAAATCCTAATTATTTAAGGGACTAACCTCATCACACCTTGTGTCCCAGAAACACTTGACGGGTACATGACTAGACTATGCAGTATATACAATCAAGCCTAATAAAATCCGAAAGCATATACTTAAGCCTATGAAAAATATTAGCATATACATCTCATCCAAAATATCAAAACACAATCATACATAATCAAAATGCAGAGAAACAAATATATAGCAAGAAGCAAGTATACGATACAAGACTCATCAGAAGCAAAGAATATTTCACAAAAGTAAACAACAAATCCCACAAATAATGAATAACATAAATAATATCACGAGTCTGATATCAATGTCATCCTCATATAAAACATAAGAACAAGGCTGCATGGCTATATAAGTATGAAATAACAACTAAAATAACTAAGTATATCAGAGTCACTATATAGAAGCAGAAAGGCAAACATAAATAACAATGTCTGGTAGCTATCAAAACGGAACAGAAACTGGACAAATAGGTAGGTAAGCTGGTCGGTGAAAACCCCATCTACTGTAGATCAGTAAACCATAGTGTGCCTAGAAGCAGGAGTGAATGTCTAGACCCATCATTAGTGTGCAAACCAGGATGGTCAGAAAACCATTTAGCAAGTGGTAAAATAAAAAAAAATGGTTTGTGCACATGTAGCATGTATTGAGAATGCATTACTCGTATAAACATAAAAAAGACTATATAACTGTATCACTTTACTTTCTTTCATGAACAAGAAACATACATCTTGAAATCTAAATCATAAAACAAAGCTAGCAGATAACTAGATATACAACAAAATAGAGATCACAAAAGAAAGTGCACCTAAATCCTTGAGTGCGATGCAAGGGTATTGTGTGCATCTAACTGTTCTCATATTTTATTTAATCTTATTTAGGAAAGCTTTAACGGGATAATATGTGTTTGGTGTACCCACTAGGAACGTTAATTGGATTCTCACTTCACTTGGTTTATGTGTACAGACTCATCTGGCTTTAGCACTCAAACACAACCTTAGGCCACATATTATCTATGAGATGTTAAATTTTCTCCCATTAATTATCTCACATGAACATTTTTATTACCTGGTTATACATGATATACTATACACTAAGCCTGAATAACTCATTCCATAGAGAACATCTATCATATGGGTGTCCTCTGCGACTGTGTTTCCAAAGCAAACGAAACATGCTCATCAAATATCAAAACAAATCATTCATGACTTGATACATACTGATATTTGATCTTTTTCTTGATCTTTCTTTCTGGGTTTATCATGTTTTATACTTGAAGTTTTTGATGGTGGAGAATCACAAGCATCCACTCAAAATCACGTCGTATCCTAAACCAAGAACTTTCTTGATTCAAACAGAAAATGTTCTCGATTTAGTATCATGAGGACACCCCCAATATTCACATACAAACAACCATCATCATCATGTATGTACCACATCATGATGCCTAATCATGCATAGCCCTAGGGCCAAACCACATGATAACAAACCAAGCAAACAAAATTCCATTGTATCACTTGGGCCAAGATGCATAGCGTCTGTAGATTCTAGGTCATGGCATAACGTAGTATAGCATGGAAGAAACATATGATAAAGCACTATGTGATAACATACAACCACAAGCTTTGCTTACACATAAACATGGATATATCGTGATTTCAATTAAACAAACATAAACAGAGGACTTTAACTAAGCAACTACTTTATCATCTACATTATCTCAAGATGGCAAGAACAAGCTATGTTGCATAACTTATGTCATAACCCATGAATGGAAACTAAAGAATCATGAAAAACAAACTCACACAGATTAAATTTTTTTCAAAATTAAAAGAATCTGTTTGTTGAACTAAACACATGTGCTCGAAGGTTGGGCGTATGTGCTCACCCAATGCTGTGTCAGCCAAGTTCTGACGTTAGATTAGGGGTGTCTAAAAAACCCGCGGCCCAGACCCGGGGTCGGCCAGGAAACCTGGGCCAAACCCGGGTCCGGGCCCGGGCCCGGGTCGGCGCAAAGTCGCCCGGCCCGGAACAGTGCCGGGTCCGATGACCGTTGGCGGATTTATGCCGGTCCGGACCGACCAAACGGTCATATTTGGTCATTTGACCGATTTGCCCCTTAAAACGGTCAAAAAACGGCTAGAATATGAAGATTTTTTGGTCATTTGCCTAGGGGACTGCCTCTATAAATAGAGGAGGGGTTTCACTTCTTCTCCTCACACCAAAACTCTTCTACTTCTCTCTTATACAATATTATACTCTCTTATAATCTCTTATATTTTCTAATATTTCTATCAAATGGCTTCTGAATCTGATTATGAAGAGCAACTACTCTTACATTTTCTAATATTTCTATCAAATGGCTTCTAATATTTCTAATACTCTCTTATACAATATTATACTCTCTTATAATCTCCTACTGATCCAGAAATGAGTCATCCTAATAACTACTCCTCTTCCTACCGGTGTTAATCGTGAATCTGGTGACAACGAATCTACTGCATCAAGAGATCCTAAAAGGCCGAGATCCGATGTGTGGAATTTTTTTGAGAAGATAGACGTCACCAAGGATGAACACGGTAGGATCATCTCCCAGAAGGCAAAATGTGCGTTGTGCGGCCATGTTTTCCAAGCTCATAGGATCATCTCCCAGAAGGCAAAATGTGCGTTGTGCGGCCATGTTTTCCAAGCTCATCATAAGAGCGGCATCAACCATCTCAAACGTCATATAAAAAAAATACAACAAATGTCAGAATCTTCAATGTGATATCCGACAGTCTATGATTTCTCAATACTCCTCTTCTGGTATCCTCGGTAATTGGAATTATGACGCTGTCCGAACTAGGAAAAAACAAATGTATGAAGTAGGTAATCCAATTGTGTCGTGTGACCCCATAGGACACAATGCGACTCCACTGTTGTTGGCATCTCATAGTCATCAGAGCTTTATAGTACCACTGTTGTTGGCACCTCATAGTCATCAGAGCTTTATAGTACCACTGTTGTTGGCACCTCATAGTCATCAGAGCTTTATAGTGGTTCTAGAAATAAACAACTTCATAGATATTGATGGTAATCGAATACCGGTGCCGTTGCCAATGAATCTCTACCATTACCATGCAATTTCCTCCTCCCGACCGACAGTATCTTTGATACCAATCAACACGAAGATTCTCTCAAGTTCCTCTGCATCTCTAGATCATGGTCTTTTCCTACATACAATCGAATCGCATCATAGCTGACCGGTAGAAAACCCTCTCATTCTCATTCTCCGAGGATCGTTCTGCGGAAACCTGAACTTTTCTTAAAAGAGAAGCTTGTATGGGATAATTTGATGTCTTTAACAGCTCTTTTCCTACGGGCAACTTATAATTTCTCTCAGGCTTACTCATATAGGAAAGATAAATGATAAACCTTCAAGCAGGGGCCCATCGTAACAAGTATTTTCGGTATAAGACAGACAGCTCAACGCAGAAAGCAGGCCATGCATTAGGGTGATAAACAAAAAAAAACTAACAGTCGTCACCTGTAAGAGCAAAATATCCATACCAGAAAGAAACGAGACCTTAAAAACATTACGGGGTAGACGACGATAGAAGAACAATAACACAAGCAAGATTTACCAAACCTACAGATGACAACAGTATCAACATGACTTCAAACTTGGTGGAAAAGGCAACGTATTATTGTCACCAAATTAGATATAAGCAGAACAGAAGCTGCCGCAAGAGAAGGCATGTTTTTGCTCTGCCAACCTGGGCAGCCAGTACCCATGTCTACTGTCAACCAAAAGTCTTAAAACAGAGTAAAACGGAAATGAACATTCTTAATACAATACTATACAGCTAGGCAATGGTTTTGATTCTACAAAATGCCTTTGACAATAATTCTTATCAGAGCACAAACTAGGGCAGACCCGACTAAAAACAAGCAGGATTTTCCCAGTAGCCACATCAGCGAGGGCGTTGTGTCCTAATAAGAGCTTTTAGTATAGGCAAGGGCTTAAGGAGACATGGCATCACCAGAAGAAACCATATGGGTATCTGCATCCTCAGGGTTTGCCTTCCTCCTAGACTCCATTACAGAATCACCTGGTGATAGAAATGAAGGGAAACGGCGAAAAGAGTTGGTGCACTTGAGAATGATCAAGAGAGATGATGTAAAGAATATGAAAGTTGTGATGTGTTCTGAGTTCATTACCGAAGATGGAATCGATAGATCTTCTTGGTGACGTACTTCTCCTCGTATCTGCAGGTTGTACAGTTGGTAAAATAATTGGTGAAAAAAATGAGAATTACTTTTTTAGGTTATCTTTTAGGTACTCTGTGATTGTCTATGTGCTTGTACTTTGTCAAATGAAACATAACGTGTCAGATTTGTCGCATGAAACAATGTGTGTAACTGGCTGGTTTTTGAGTAGATTTTTTGTGTTTGTATCCACCAAACAACCTATGGATTAGTTATGTGTTCTCTCTATGTATGCAACAATATGTGTTTATGAAGTTAGCAATCTATTCTGTTGCTGGATATGGCAAATGGTGTGCACTAATGGGTATTTTTTGGATTACATGTTTGTTTAATGTTGGAACTATGTGTCTGATTATATGCAGGGCTCTTTTAGTTAGTTTATGACCCTAGTTTACTTTTGCAGTACTTTATATTTCCGTTTGGTTGATGTATTATTATGACTCTCTAGTATTCAGTTAGATGCACTTGTATCAGGGCATGTTTGACCCGAATATTATGTCTGAGATGATATTTCAGTTGTGATATGTATCATTTGGTTCTCAGTTATTTATTATATTCTCGCTACTGTGATCGGGGACCAATGCCTTTGCTTTATATTACTTGACGCTTAGCGTATTAGATTGAGTAGAAGGTCTAGTATTTTCCTCCTCAGTCTAATACGTCGCGAACTTGTTCACGTTCCGATTCCCTGGTACTTTGCAAAGCAGGCTTGTTGTAGACTTTTGAAAGACTTGGATTACATGTTGGTTTAAAATTATATAGTATAAGTTTTAAGATTATTATGTATTTGAGCACAGAATTATGGATTTCTAAGACACAAAATAGAAATGGTAAAGGGAAACAAATATGAAAGAATGGAGGAAGATGAGGATATAAAGGTTGTGTTTGGGTTTTTTGGTTGTTTCAGCCAACTATTGGGGTAATTTTGACTCATTCTGCCCACATGCAAGTCACATGGGAATCTATGAGGGAATATTCCATCAGCAAAGTAATAGAGGGTAGTGACTTGCAAAGTTCTAAAACTTTAAGGTATATAATGCAAAGTTGTGTAAACATTAGGGTAACAAATCCTGGAAAAAAAACATAGGGTATACAAGTAAAAGGTTGTGTGAACATCAGGGTATATAAGTGCTATTAAGCCATAGAAGAATGTAATAAAAATCTCACTACAATCTCATTGATCCCAAACTGGTCGCACGATGTGACTCCAGTCTCTGCCACGAGGACAATGAGTTGTCAGGTGATGAAAGGTTAGAGAGAGAGGTAGAGAGGTACTGGGTTTCGAATATTTTTCAAATTCTTTGAAGGGATTTTAGAGACCGGGTTAGAGTAGTTTGAAGAGATTTTATAGACGCAGCAAGTCCCTGCATTGCAAACCGGTCCTACAATCTTGCTCTTTTATATCTTCTTAATTTTAGTGTTTTTCCCCCTCCTCTTCTCATGAGTGTCGTTAATTTGTCCAGAATGAAATTGTACATAGAAATTGAAAGGAGAAAAAGATAGAGGAAAAGGAAGAGACAACTAGGGAAGTGAAGAGCGACACGCGGTGACTTGTCTTTAAAACATTTGATGCAATGACTTGTCACGGTCATACACAATAACAAGTCACTGCAATGAAATTTTATGATCTCGTGAGCATGGGAAAGTCTAGGGAACTCACTCAAAGAGACTGTCCCTTACCACTCATCCCAACTTTCACATGCCATGACTATGGGTTACTAACAATAAAAGGTAAATATACACTTTTGCATTCTTTGCAATGTACAAGTACAGACATATATAAGGTCAAAATAGCACTTAAATACCTTATAATTTATATGACTTTGCACTTAAATATCCTAATTTTTTTCCTTGACTTTTAAACATCCTGTAATTTACTTGACTTTGCAGTTATATATACCGTCTTTTTTCTTGACCTTTAAATACCCTATAGTTTAATTCACTTTGCACTTATCTACCTTACCTTTTTTCTTCTTGACATTTAAATTTCCTATTATCTTTTAAAATAGCACTTCACTACCTTCTTTTCGTTAAATGTCGAAATATTCTTCTAACAGTTTCATGGGAATCTAAATTTGAGACAGACATATGATGTTAGCGCTCGGATGATTATAATCTACTGGAGAACTGAGGTTGATAAGACTATTAGATCCTCTACCAGAATGCAATTCTTACTTACAAAGAGGAGTTTAGGTTTAGCAATCAATCATTTCGCCTATGAGTCTCACAATTTGGGAAACCAAACCGAATCAAAACTGAACAAATAAAATTTTCAATTTGGAATATATATATATATATATATCATACTCCTTTTAAAAGTGCGAGTTCCGAAAAATCTTTTCATAGTCAATATTAACCTTAACTTTTTTTTAATATTACATTGTTATCCTAATCTATTCTAATTATCCTATCTTCTTTGAATTGGTAATTAAATGTTTTATCATATTCATAATGAGACTTAACATGTTATAGGATAAAGGAGATACGTTTGATATAATTCAAATCCTTTACTTATTTCAGTTCATAGAGAACTACAAATATCCCCTACATAATTTATAATTTATAAAAAAAACTCTAAAATTTCAAAAATTACAAACAAACACTCAAAATTCAAAATTTATAAAAAACACCCTGAGAATTTCTAACTCATTAGTAAATTAAAACATACGAATTATAAATAGTCTATAAACAATTTATAATCTATAAAAAAGGCCTATAAGTTTAAAAAAATTGCAAAAAACCGCTAAAATTCATAATTTACAAAAAATACCATTAGGATTTCTAATTTATAGACACTAAAATGAATATACAGAATTATTAATAACCCCTGAAAATTAAAAATGTGCAAAAAATGTCATACTCCCTTTAAAAGTATATGTTTAGGAAAAACTTTTCATAGTCAATATTACCTATAACTTTTTTAAAAAGAACATAACTAATTGAAAATCTATTAAATTTAAAACTTACAAAAAAACCTTAAAGTTTAGTACATTGCAAATTACCCCTCCAAAATTTAAAATTTTTAATAATTTTTTGTAATTCCTTGATTTCAATGTAATGTTTAATAGTTTTGTGTATTTGTAAATTACAAAATTTTAGGATATTTTTTTATAATTTTTAAAACTTTTGAGGGTGTTTTCTTTTGTAGTTTTCCAAATTTTCATTGTGTTTTCAATGTAATGCATAGATACATCAATTAATAATGATATTAACGAGTAAATCGTTCTTAAGATGTATTACGTCATAGTTAAGTGTGCAAATTACTATTCCTAGGCAGTAAAGTTTATATATGTAAAAAATTTCAGACAATCTATATAGTGGTTGAAAGGATTTTAACTTTAATGTACTATTTTTTTATAAATTATATTTAATGTGAATCTATCATATAATTTTAATACGTTTGATTGATTGACTATATAGGTATATAGACCATAGATTACTTTACTTTCTCACATGAACTAATATTTGGCGCTTAATAATTTAAATTATTACTTCTAAATTTAATATAAAAAAGAGCTCTAATAACATTTATGTATTTACCTAGAGGACTATACAATCTCAACTCCTATTTTCTACTTGAGATTTGTTCCATAGTTACAGGTATTAAATTAATAACTAAAATAATAATTATTTATGCTTGCACTTGGTCTCTCACTATGAAATTTTCATGAATATATATATCTTACTTTCTATAGCTATCTGCATTGTCCATATATATTTTATAAATTAGCTGTTAATTTGACATATTAAATAATTTTTCCTTTGTAAAAATTTCTTCTTTTGACTTTTGAATTGTATAATCATTATATCACCATTCTATCGTAAAAATGACCTCACTCTAAATGACTTCAAACTAATGTTTGAGTTGAACTGAAGTATATACTATTGCTAATGTGCATATATTTTTTTAAGAAAATTATGTCATTCTTTTTTAAACAGAAGAGAATATTCTAACCTCTGATATTATAAAAACTAAATATAACCAATTGAGTGATTAGCAAAAGAGAACTTACATAAAAAAAGTATGAATAATAAGATAAAGAGTAAAGGTAATGGTATTACCAACAATATTACTTATAGCAAACTATAATGTAAAGTTAACCTATTTTGCAGAGACAGTATTTATATGCACTTGTATATAACTCTATTGTATATACACTAGTTGAAATTCAGTGCAGAGACAGTATTTATATGCACTTGTATATAACTCTATTGTATATACACTAGTTGAAATTCAGTGCAGAGACAGTATTTATATGCACTTGTATATAACTCTATTGTATATACACTAGTTGAAATTCAGTGCAGAGACAGTATTTATATGCACTTGTATATAACTCTATTGTATATACACTAGTTGAAATTCAGTGCAGAGACAGTATTTATATGCACTTGTATATAACTCTATTGTATATACACTAGTTGAAATTCAGTGCAGAGACAGTATTTATATGCACTTGTATATAACTCTATTGTATATACACTAGTTGAAATTCAGTGCAGAGACAGTATTTATATGCACTTGTATATAACTCTATTGTATATACACTAGTTGAAATTCAGTGCAGAGACAGTATTTATATGCACTTGTATATAACTCTATTGTATATACACTAGTTGAAATTCAGTGCAGAGACAGTATTTATATGCACTTGTATATAACTCTATTGTATATACACTAGTTGAAATTCAGTGCAGAGACAGTATTTATATGCACTTGTATATAACTCTATTGTATATACACTAGTTGAAATTCAGTGCAGAGACAGTATTTATATGCACTTGTATATAACTCTATTGTATATACACTAGTTGAAATTCAGTGCAGAGACAGTATTTATATGCACTTGTATATAACTCTATTGTATATACACTAGTTGAAATTCAGTGCAGAGACAGTATTTATATGCACTTGTATATAACTCTATTGTATATACACTAGTTGAAATTCAGTGCAGAGACAGTATTTATATGCACTTGTATATAACTCTATTGTATATACACTAGTTGAAATTCAGTGCAGAGACAGTATTTTAAAAGCATGGGCAGGTTCTGTCGCACACTTGTGTCAAAACTTGGCGGAAGGTAACTTACATTTATATATTTTATCCAGATTATTAAAAAAACAGAATGAGATTAAACGTTTCTTCTAAAAAGAAGTTTCGAAAAGTTCCTTACCATGCAACCCTTTGACAGCATCAAAATTTTTGTATGTATACCCAACAAAACTCAAGTCTTTGGGGCTCAGCAACTTCTGCATATAAATAATCCAAACAAAAGATTCAGATGCCAACAATACTCATACACAACTCAGTAACCATCAAATATGCACAATATTTCAAATGACATATCGAACGCAGATGTAGTTAGCATTCAAAATCCTGAAGGAAAAAAAAATGATAATGTTGCTTACACCTATGAATAGATCAAACGCTATGATATAAACACATGAGTACACATGCATAAATATATATATAAATGCACCTGAATTTATGTTTTGCCACCTTAATGTTGTGTAGATTTGTTTAGCAGCTGGAGGTTCCCAATTTGTAAAACCATACCCAATAGCAACATAGTTGGAACAAGTAGGCTTTGGTCATAATATTATTGTCAGATCTACCTCGACCATGACATCTGACACCAAACAAGCATGATCTTCTGTTGGAATTGTGTTTACACCTTTCTGCACCAATCCTATCAAATACTGGACTGTCCTGACATTTTTGGTAGACACGCTAATGCTTATAGAAAAGTCGTTTTAATATAGAACAGTCAACAGTCAATAAGAATTGTAGTTTCATACTTTCAGCAAGCGCAAGATATGAAGAATACACCAAACTTGACAGAACACATATAGTTAGCATTCAAAATACTGGATTTTTCTTTTTTTTCTTTTTTTAATAATATTGCTTACATCACCTATGAAGCAATCAGATGCAATATGATGCAAAAATATGAACAAACGAGCACAACTATATATATTTACATAAATGCATCTGAAAATTGGTTTTGCCACTTAAAGTTGTGTAGATTTGTTTAGCAGGTGGAGATTCCCAAGTTGTAGAACCCTTACCCAATAGCAACATAGTTGGAACAGGTAGGCTTTAGTTATTAATTTATAGTCAGATCTACCTCGACCATGACATCTGACACCAAACAAGCATGGTTTGCAGTTGGAATTTGTATCTAGACCCTTCTGCACCAATCTTATCAAATACTTTTGTTGTGTCTATGAGGTTCAACTTTAACTTACAGGACGGACCTAATATTTTCAGGAGACATGCTAATGCAATCATAGAACAAATTACTTTTAATGTAGAATAGTCAGGTCAATCAAAGAACAGCTTAATTTTCAATAGGACTTGTAGTTTCATACACACTTATATAATCTCAGATATTTCAGGCCAAACAAAGAAGACATCTGCGAAATATATAGAAGTTTCAAGCTAGAGGTGATCTGTCCCATCAAGAGGCAAAAAGATCCGAAATAACACAGGAAGAATCAGGAACTAAGGAGCAAAAAGATGCATTTATAGCAGTCTTAAGAGTTCCCCAGGTGAGGGAGTTTAATCTACTTTACCCTGGTAGACATCCCATGGGCATCTGTTCAATTTCTGTGAGGTAAAATAAGTATTAGGAAAAAAAACCGTCTACAGTATGGATCAACAGCAGCAACGATCACATATGAGAAAAAGAGTGTTTCCAAATATTATTCACTAAAAAAATAACTGACTTGAGTGCACAAGTTTAAGAAAGAAAGAGCAAGCAATAAATATTACAAAAAGTTGCATGCAGTGTAACTTTTGGTCAAGTTCGGAAGTTCCTAAAAAGAATCAGTGTCTTAGTGAGCCATCTTAGTCTATTAGAAGCAAAGGAGCTGAAACCATAACCTGAAAAGCACAGAACAGAAGTGCTCCATAGTGAACTTGACCACTGTCATGCTTTCACAATTGTATTTGAAAGTTGAACTTCACAAGTTAGTTATCGTCTAATGCATAGAAGGCATTCCAAAAGAATTTGAAGCAAAGATTTCCTGTAAAAGACCCTAACCAACCAAAGAGACAAAATATATGAATGATTTCTAATGTATCCAAAACCTTATGCAGAGTTAGACCACAAACTGCCTTGGATTCATGAGATGGGATTGCAGAAGAAAAATAAAAATAAAAAACTCATGCTTACAATGTGCAGAATAAGAATAGTGCGATTAAACTGTAGTAAGCTACTGCCAACGAGGATCTATTTTGTAGAAGAACTTCAATAATCGTATCTTTAAATATTGCAATGCATGCATAAAGTAGAAAAATATGGAAGGTATACACTAAAAGCCATCTAGGACAAGGAGTCTTTCGGAGAAATATGCGTGTTCCTTGTATTAAATTAACAATTCCAAGTGAAATACATCTAAACGACAATAAAGCATCTGTCAAAGTAAATTTCGATAATCGACAATGATCAGAACCAATGATTACCAAACTAGCTTATCCTCCAAAGGAATTTCCAGAACCATACGTTTAGAAGAACATATTGTACCTTTCTACTGTGTCCGGAACTCGTTCTAGCAGGAGGCTCCATCTGGATCATAAACAAAAAAAAAAGTTATCAACTTCCATCGAGCCCATGCAACAAATTATGGTACCAATCTTCCAAATGTAAAGTGAAATTCTTTAAAATTTAAGAAAATGCTCACACTTCTTCATTTTGAAATTAATATCTTTAGATGTTTATTACAGGAAAAGATATGCTAGAAAGAAAATTGATGTACCAAGAAAGAATAGTGAACTATAAGCACACGAAGACAACCTAAAACTAGTTCAGTCACAAATATTCTCACTCCATGTCCACAAAGTTCATACACGACATATAAAGAGAGACTAGAACTTACACGTAGTTTATCCATAGTTAATAACAAAAACCACTTAGAATTTAAGCACCAGTGAGAAGAAATGGAATAAAACAATTCATCATTCAGTGAACATTAAAAAATCAAACAGAAATCTTAATAAGCATCATACCTCATCAAATTTCAAGAAGTTTTGGGTGTCCAATTCATCCTTGACCTCAGGCTTAAATGCTGCCTCCATTTCATAAAGTTTCTCCCATACGACATCTCTGAACCAGGGATGAGCCTGAGAAAAAATAGAAATAAAAACTTGAAGAAAACTATATAACAGAAGAAACAAAATGAATAAGATTCCCATATACTCAGCACAATACCTTTATTTGGTCTGCCCCACCACTGCCTAACCTGTGTTCAACATCACATAGCAATCTACATATAAGATCTCGTGCTTCAGGAGAAAGCCTAGCATCTTCCGGAAATTTCAAATGATTTCTCCAATGCACAATCTAATAAAAGGTGTGGTCAGACAAGATTAGAAGTTTTTTACATCTCTAAATATGAAATAGTACATATCAGATGTACAACTTAGTACACAGCTTCAACTCATTAATCTCAATGTCATGAGAAGAACTTAAATTAGAACCAACTATGATGTCAATGCGAAAACCAAAACCTCCAGAAGAAGTCAAATCAGGTTCTTGTGTAATTGATAGGATCCACCATATTTGCTAAACTAGTTTTTTAACCATGCTATGACGACTTTATATTAAAATGTTGTTGCATTCATAATATTGTAATATTATGATTTTGATAATCGAGTTTTGCTTTCACTCTAAATATTATGTGATATATTAGAAATACCACTAAAATGACATTTACAAAGCGGCAAGAAAACATAGTAGCATTTTTCAGAATCAAGACTCTCAGATAAAAGATATATGACATCACTTCCTATCAGATAGGAGATGCTTTACCTGTCTGTGGAAGAGTGTTTTTATTAGTAGGAAAGAGTAGTCTCCAAGTGATCAAAGAGAGTGAATAGGGAAGAGAGACAACATAAAGAAGTTGTAAACGGATGATTAATATCAAGGAGTTGTAAAAGATTTCAGATTAATTTTCAGCGATAAGAATCACTGAAGATAGGAAAAGGAAATGAATATTTGATAGAAGGGAAGACGGAAAGTTGCATGCATAAACAAGTACTAGTCACATTCCTGCAACGAGTGGCAGTAACTTTAGTATCATAGTAAGTGTAAATAAACCTTTCTTCAGTTCATGTGCACGGTTTAGTTCTGAAAATCCCCAAGTTTTCTCCTTTTACAGAAATGCAACATGATGCACATGAAAATTTCTAAGAAGTGATAAATCGAAATCTTCCAGTGTATCTGAAATTATTGTCTATATTGTGTGTGTGTGTGTGTGTACTTATTGAAATGAAATTTCAGCTGCATGAATATCCAATGGGTGCATAAAAGTGATAATGCATAAAAGTGAAGTCCTCAAACATTTGAGATCATTAAGGCAGTGATTGAAGAACTTTATTAAAGAACTTTATTAAGGCAGTGATAATGCATAAAAGTTATATTAGAAGATAATTAATAAGGTAAAACTCCATACCAATGCTTGAAAATGCAAACATGAAAAGTGAAGTCCTCAAACTTTTGAGGTAAACAGATGTGCAGGCTTTAAAAGCTTAGGCTCCGCAAATTTCATTTTTCTCCTAAATTAGATGTATGAAATAAAAACAAGTTGAAAGTTTTACATCTGATCCAATATGTATGTTATCTGATCTAAGACCATGTAAAACAGATAGATGGAGATCGTTTGCGATAGAGAATTCTGCTTTGGTTAGTGTTGCTGGTAACTGGAAAAATAGGAAGTTACAAGGTGGTGAAACTGAAGGTGGCCAAATTATGTCAAACAGGTAATTTGAATAAATAATTAGAGAATCATCAAATTAAATTGCGCACTAAATATAAAAAATAAAATCATTAAAGCAAATCTCAATTCGGTCAGGAATTAAATAAGGAAAGTCCATCAAATTGGAATTTCAATCTAACAACATTAAAAGGAAATCAAATAGACGGTTGAAGCTAATTTTATCTAGTTAAAGTGCTTGTGCATGGCATGCGTATCTGTGCACACAAAAAATACACACACACGCACACTTACAAGCAAACACGCAAGTAGGCACGCACACCCATATCAAAGTGAAATCTCGATCTAATAAGCTTCCAAGATATCACATAAATGGTTAAAGCTAACTTCATATCTAGGAAAGTGACTCATTCAAATGCATGGCAGACAGGCAGTACACGCACAGGCATCAGAAAAATATGCTTTGTACATATGTAACATAAACACACATACAGAGAGATGTACATACATGTTCTTACCTACACCTATATCCCTCTATATGTGAATCTATGTAAATTCCTATGCACATTATATATATATTATATATTTTATTGTATTATCATGTATTACATATCGATAAATTAAGATCGATATGCTTGATGAATGAAGGACTCAATGAATTTGTCAGCAATGATGAGGTAACCAAGTATACGCTGATTTGTAAAGGCATATCAAACTGTTCCATAACAACCCATCAACTTCAGCTTTTGGTCTTTTTTTTTTTACATAATTCAAAATTGTAGCAACTTTCTCGCATTAAGTTGGCCCTGAAAGAAACCAACCGAGTTAAGGGTTTAGCATGGAAACCTTTCGACATGTTGTAATTGGGTCATCAGAATAGAATGGTGGGTATCCAACAAGCATTTCATACATTATTGCACCCAATGACCACCTGCAAGGAGTTCACAAGGATGGATATAAGGAAAATAAGGAAAAAATAAAGAATGCTGGTAAATCATCTTATAAGAAACTAACTCAAGTGGGAACTGAATAATACTCCTTTTAAACAACAGCATTTACTTCCCCAAAGCCAAAACCAAGATGTATGGGAAACTTAAGAAAAGAACACCATATATATAAACTAAAAGGATATAAAAAGATCATATCATTAAATTAAAAGGAAGTTTAACTTACACTGTTAAGAAGACTAGAGTTAAATCTGTTGCACACTAAATTACTTCATGTTGTAGTAAAGTGTGGTTTAGCACATGGAAAGTTACTAAGCACCTGATTGAGAAATAATCATTGCAACAAGGAAAACTAATTAATTCCATAGAATTTGGGTGCACTGGATAGTACCTAACCAGAAAAATTGATGGATCTCACAAAATACTGTGGAAAATGTTTCTAATTCTGTTATATAACAATTAAAATACAAAGCAAGAATTTGGAGAAGAGTATATGGCTAATGTACATGCCTAACTGTAATTTAAAATGAACCAATCATAGAACAATGCCTCTATAGAACTTTTAAGCTAGAGGAATTAAGCCAATGAAATAATATACTAAATGTCAAAGATCTTCTACCCTCTGTATGCATACGAAAGAAACTAAACTCCTAGGTTTTCTAACATAACCATAATGTCATTTTTTATTTTTTAGAAGTACAATGCATAAATGTTAATACTTTTAAACATGCATTCTACTTCAAGGTTAGGGGTAAAGAAAATTCGAGAAGTCAATTGTTTAAAACAGGAATCTGGATGAAGTTTCATAAATATACGAACCAATCACATTCCATCCCATATCCTTTCTTTAATAATACTTCTGGCGCAATGTAGTCAGGTGTACCCACTGTGGAAAATGCCTGAAAATTATAAAATAATAGCCTGTTACTTCAAAATCAATTACCTAAATAAAGCAGTTTTGTGAGCCCAATTTATGACCAAAATACAAAAGGATGATAAGGTAGAATTAGAGTACCAAGACATTAATAAGATCAACATATTAACATACCAATTTCCTCCTGTTCATCTGCCAGTGCTGAAGCTGTTCGTTGGGGCTTTTCCACCTGCTACCATTATTTGCATCTGAGAAGGATCCATCAATGTCCATTGACTCTTTTAAGCTGTCATCATCCAAGGGTTCATTTTCATTCAAAGTAGAAAGTGTTCTACAATCAATTGGCTTGCAAAGGCCAAAGTCCGACAACTTCATATGACCATTTTTGTCCAGTAGCAGATTGTCGGGCTTAATATCTCTGCATATGATGGAAATTAAAGGAGTGCTATAATGGAAATATCAAATTAATGAAAAGAGTTCAATACTTACCTATGAATGTAGTTATGCCTATGAATGGATTCTATTGCTAATACACTCTGAGCGATGTAAAATCTAGCCACGCTTTCAGTTAAGGTGTCTTCTCTTATAAGTAGGGTCATCATGTCTCCTCCAGGAAGATATTCCATTATTAGGTATAGATATTCAGCATCTTGAAAAGAATAGTACAGTTTAACAATACAATGACTTGCAACCTCAGCAAGCAAGTTTCTTTCCGCTCTGACATGCTCAACCTATAACATTTTGACAAATGTAACTTGAATACTGGAAAAAAGATATTTACAAATCAATTAAAGAGAATCATAAAGTACAACAATAATCTTTCCATGTGCATTAAGCAAAATGATTCAGAAAAAAGGAAATCCTAGCAAGGAAAGCACATTATGCTGGGAAATGTTTATCTGCCACTTAAAACCACCTTTCAAGCCATGTTATTAAGGGTTGCTAATTGTTAGTGACCACTTCTACCCAAACTGTGTGGTCCCACTTTTTGAAAAAAAATATCATAACAATAGATTATCATGATATTTACACTGATGATGTCATCTAATTGGTCAAAGTAAATTTCTTGTGCAGAGAATGCAGCCTTTCCAAGTACCAACGTAATTTGGCATAAAGAACTCAGGAAATAACTATTACTTCAGAGGTCAGAACAAAAGCACAGGTAATACAAAATGGCGCCAAGCAAATAGAACGGATTTTAGAATCAGCGGCATCTCACCTGACCCCTACTAAGCATTTCTGATTTTTTCAGCTTTTTCATAGCATAAATATTGCCAGTGGCCTTCTCTCGGCAAAGCCTAACCTGCATCATACGCAGCACTAATCAGCAAGGTATTTCCCAAACAGTTAGGTACACCAACATGAATCAAAGGTTTAATGTATGATAACTCATAAGCATAATGGTTGAGATCTCTGCTCAAAGGCTTCATATATAACAACTGCAATGATACCAAAATTAGGATCTTTCGCTTACCAACAAATTGTTATACGATGATTTCATAAAAATAATTAGCAAACTTAATGCTTTTCTGCCAAAAAGAAAATGCCTTTCTGACCATATATAGGTCATATATCATAAGTATCAGCTATAAGAAGAAACTGTAATCTGAGAAATTTTGAGATGCTGGCAATATATATGCTATAGTTGATGGGTAAAATAGTGGCAATATATACTAGGCTACTAGCACAAATCAAAGGTTTTGACGACAAGGCAAACAATCACCCTAGTTAATGGGTATTGAAGATAAGTAAAAAAAGTTTCACTAAAGCATAACTTTCTACTTAATTTTGAGGAAATATGTTACAAGTATACACGAAACTTAACCATGTTACTATGGAACAATCATGCTAGAGGTGGCCTATGTAACTAAAACTGTCAATACCAGCATCAGAACGAGGGACATCCCACCTTCTGATGAAAGGATAAGCAGAATGATATGAGACTGGGGAGCTTGTGCTAGAAATCTACTTTCCAAGTGTACATCAAGAAATCTTGAAATACACGGGGAAAGTAGATTTCAAGGAAGTAAATTTCTTGACATAAAAGTGGAAGGCAGATTTCTCGATGTACATGGGGAGGATAGATTTCTAGGGAAGTAGATTTCTTGGTATACATGCTGATGGCAACCCTTCATGCTAGAGATGGCAAATGTTCTCAACATAATTAAAACTCCCAATAACAGCATCCACACCAAAGTCAACCCAACTTCTGACTAGAGGATAATCAGAATGATCCACTGACATGGGAGCTTGTCCTAGAAATCTACTTCCGAATGTACATCAAGAAATCTTGAAATACATGAGGACAAGTAAATTTCTGGGAAGTAAATTTCTTGACATACATATGGAAAGTAGATTTCTTGATGTACATGTGGAAAGTAGATTTCTTGGTACACATGCTGTAGGTAACCCTTCTTCCGTCTTCCATCCCTCACAATGCAGACCTATATGATATGCTAAAGTTTGTTTTGACATTTCAAGTCTCCACGACAAAAACAATTGGTCCATATGTTTCGCATGCGCCCGTTGTATCAAACCCATTTGCATCTTACGTTTTGCCCTCAAGAGATGACTTTGTTGTTGTGTGTGCCTCTGTGCATCCACACGATACCAATCTTCATATGCAACTAGTTTTCCTTAATAATTAAAAGGCTACAAGTTCATTGACACTAAAGTCTCTCCAACACCTAAATGGCAACTTGATTTGCGAGAATCACACTTGGTTTGTGTTCCTTGATGCTGTTCTTCAATGAACCCAGCATGTCTCACCTATCGTTAATCACATCCTATCTTCCCTCTCTACGTTAGAGGGGATCCTTGTCTTTACAGCATACCATAGTTCCGAAGCCACTTCATTTTACAGTTTGCTTTTGTTGCAGCTATACTGATTGGCAAAATTTCCATATATAATTCTCTAGCACCCAAAGGGCTGCAGGTGGCCAGTGGTGGAGCCACATTCAAGCGAGTGTGGGCAAATGCCCTCACTCAAAAAAAAAAAAAATTGCGATATACCCTTCTATGTAATAAATCTAATATTACGACCCTAGCTAAGTATCTGCCCCCACTATGTCTCTTAAGCACATAACTATTAATGTATTTACAATTTAATTTTATTATAGCCCACTTGTAAGTTTAAATAAATTATACTTTTTATTATAATAACATGTACTTTAAATAGAGCCCATATTGTTATAGATAATGGTTTTTTAACTAATTGCAATAAGTTTGATAAGGCCTATTTAGCTAAATCAACATACCCATTAATTAATCCTATTTATCTCTAATTGATCCTTCTTCCTTTGTGGTCATTATGGATCGATCCGTTTCAAGAGAATCAAAACGAAAGGTGCAACTACAGGAGAGAAAGAATGATTTGGAATTTTGGGGGAAAAGTAGTTATAATCTTTAAGCTTTATATGTTCTAAATACTTTGCATAAGATTCTATTAGAATTATTTTTGCATAAGAACATAACTTGTGAATTGTGATATAGTGGGTAAAGCTTAGTTGCATAATAGGAAAAAAAATATGGTCTAGTGATGTCCAGAATCGATCAAAACACGTTTTTAGTCGAGTTTTTATTTTCTATGTTATCATTATTAACCTCAATTTATAATAGTAGTTTATTATTTCAAATTATACAAAAAAAACATTTAGTTGATATTTTCAAACAGGTCATGGATAAATTTTGAAAAGATCATAACTACCAAGATAATGTCGAGAGTTCTTTGAAGCAATGATGTCCAATATTATATTTTATTCACAAGTGATCGGCACCTAAGCTTAACTGGTGAACCTCCCTGTTCTCATATTGCTTGATACCTTTTGCATGGATTCATATTTTCTGAATTATAACTTGATTTTCTTGGTGCTTTTTATACTGCCACTTTTTGTTCAAATTCGCGTCAGGTGTTTTCTTCCCTATGTTGATTTGAAGCTATACTTTCACTCTTGACAATCATGTACTACTACCATTTTACCAACGCATCATGTGGCTTGACAAATATTTAACATACCAATGTTATTATGGAACGCTTAAGATCCATGTAATATGGATTGCATTCTATATTATGATGCATGTCATGGCTTTTTATTTTGGCTTATAAGTCCATTTGAGATATCTTCTCTAACCAGTGTGCAAGTTTTGTTAATTGAGAATGGTTTCATTTATTTTGCGGCTAGCACATGCATAAGCATGTTTAACTCTGAGAGTTGTTTCAGCTAGATCATTTGCCACTTTCACATAACTAAAATATAATGTTGATAATCAGAACCCCAGCTGAAGGAACCACGACACACTTAAAGATATATAAAATAATCAAGAAATTCCCTCCCCATTTTCTACATTAAGCTCACAATCGTTTCAATCTTAAATACATACAAGCGTCAATTCTCCTAGATCTTCAGCTTGCCTTTGGCTATTGTCAACGGTTGTTGGCTTCAAATCCCAAATTTATCATAATGGTGTGTAGAATAGTAGTTCAGAAGTTTATTACGGTATTTTCAGTAGTAATCAAAGAGGTATTTTTGACCAAACTGAGTGCAACGTTTTGGATGATTAAATAAACGTGTGAAGTCCCTTCCGAGTGAGCGAGAATGTCCAAGAACAGCATATGATTCTACTCCAATAAAAAAACCCCAAACTAAAGGTTAAACACATTAATTTTCACAGAACTTCTTTATGCCATTAAAGATGACCCATAGCTGAACCTGATCAACTCAGACTTAATATTGATTAAAGAATGACATAAAACTGGCAATGAATCTCAGTCCTCATATTTCCTCAAGGGAATAAGCTCACTATGGATGTAGCTTCCAGTTGTGCAGCATGGAGATCTAACCGGTGCAAGTGACTGTAGACGAGTCTGCTTACAGTATAATATAGTTAAAGGAAAAGCATTAGCTCCAGGATTAGGAATTTCAGTAGCTTCGCTAAAAAAAATTAACAAATATACAGAAGTTGGGAAAATTTTCTAATGACATGAAGGATGGTAGTCATCTGTGGACAATCTAAACAAATGGACAATCTAAACAAATGTCTGATCCCTACTTGCATGACCCAGAAAATGGAGTAACATAAATAACAAACATAGTGATTGTCTACAGTTACTAATAACCCGCCTATTAAAAAGAATTGATATACATCCAGTACAGGGATGAAGGGACTTCTTTTTTCCACCATGTTTCATTAAATAAAGGACAATGATAATAACAAAGCTCAGGAATCCCCATCAAGGAACCCCAGTAGCATAAGTGTATCTCCTGTCCACAGAATACTTCTTCATAAGTAGCAGCCAACCTCTGATGTTAGCATACTGACAGAAAATTAAGGAAAGGGTAAAAAAAGAGGTGGCAGCAAAATTGATGAGAAATAGAATAAAATATTTAGCAACTTCAATTCCATTATATATAAAGCTACAGACGTGATGAGAACTTTGGCACTTCTAAAAGTGTGAGTGTCACAAAAATGAAGAATTTTATGCACATAACGAATAGAAGTGCAAACCTCTCCAAAGGCTCCTCTTCCAATGATGGTCAATAGCTCAAAATCATCCACACAGATCTTGTGTCTCTTAAGTCGCATATACTCTGTCTCCTTTCTCTCCAGATCCTTTATTAAATTGATTTGTTCTTCCTGGGAAACATGTGAGGAAGCTAGCTTTCTCTCTAAAATCCACCTCCTGCAATAATAACAATTTGTCAACCATAAACCAGTAACAAAAGTAGAATCAGATAATGGAGTTGCATCAACACATCAAGTGCACGACAAAAGCATGACACACATGTAAGGCGGGAAGAACGGCAGATTAAAGTCAGAACTTATGGAAGATATAAGCAGCAATTTATATGAGGATGTGCAAGGAAAACAAAATTAAAAGATATAGAAGGGTATGCAGCCTAAATTAATTTGGAAAAGCAAATGCTCTAATACATTAGAACGAACTTATGCGTGTGTACATTTTAGAGCTTTGTTGTTGTTGTTGTTGTTGTTGTTGTCTACATTCTAAGGACAGCCTCACCATCCACACGCCAATAGTGAAGACCACCCAAGGCTTTGCTCTCCATCATGTTTGAGTCAGATCCAACTACTAAGGCAGCGTGGTCTTTTTAGTACATCAGTGTGTCAGAGTCCTAATAGAAAAGGAAACTAACAGATTAGAAACAAAAGAACTTGCGACGTCTTCTGTCTTCATGGAGGCCAAACTTAAACAAGGTACATGGCAAGGAAAATGCTCTTTCATGGCAATGACTATGGATCTAAAATCTTCCCCCTAAGTTCTTACACAGATTTAGAAGTCCAAGGCATTATATGCGCATTGACACATGAATTGTCCTACTCCTATAATCACATAAGTTTTTAAGGAAAGATTCACATATTCTACCGTGCTTAACAATAAAAACTCATATCGTCACGCAACTTCTTCATCTCCAAAGGTCCAGCCTTGATGACAATCAATCAATCCACTAGTCATTAAAAATGCAACAAGCATGTTGACTGAGAACTGGAATATATGAAAGAAAATCATTTCAGGCAATGCACCCATAAAAGTTGTTAGAATGACATCATGAGAAAAAACCAAATTGAGATCTAAAGTTCTAAACAATATGATTCCACAACTCTGTGTTTAGATAATAGTCAGATATGTAAAGAGAGAATAATAAGTGCCTGGAATAGGTCACATAATGAGACATAATCCTTATTAACAAGAGAAAAAAGTTAAATTTTGGAACCTTGAAAAAAGTTATAAAGATAAATGAAGCACAGACCTAAACCTTGGAGGCATGTGAATTGAAGTATCGGTTAGTATTCATATGAATTGGTTATATAGTATTAGATTTAAAGAATACATTAACCTGATCCTGCTGATATATTCAAAATTAGCTATTAATGACCAATACAGACAATGTTAGTTAATAACTACTAAAAGAAGGATCTGAGATGTGAAGTACTATTAAGTTAAAGAATGTGATGTTAAGACCAATAGATATAATTAATGACTAGTAAGTTCAGGAATAAACTCTAGACTTAGTGCATGGCAGAAACTTCAAATCCAAGACAACCAATGGCGCTGAAATTCCTGATACCGATGTCAATAAAGGTGAAAAGAGAATGCGAACAATACAGTCAATCCTCGCTAGAGATGATTCTTTCTTGTCATATCTGAATAACCAAGTAATCCTCATCTTGTATTAACACCATGCACCAATTCACAGGGAGTTAAAACTCCAATTTTACTTTTACTTCTTATATTACTTGACTAACCAGATGACCATATCTACAAACTTACTTGACTCCAGCGAATACCTTTGAACATGTAGATTAATTAGAATTGTCAAATGATTGTATGTCGGGACTTGAATAGCAATAATCACTAATCAGTACATTTTTGGGAAAAGAATGGTAAGCCCTAAGAACCAAGAAATTGTGCAACAAAGGCATGTCCCATATAAAAAACTGCATATGTAGTTACTTCAATCAAGCACAAACACATGAACACTGCAAACCTATAAAATAACATGCCTATATTGGAGAGCAGCATCAAATGTCAGGACAACTGAATATATGAACTGCATAGTGAACCTCTAAGTAAATGGAATAAATCATGCAACGGAAATGTACTGTTTGTTCAGAGGAGAAAATAGATAATTTAGAATATTGTGGTATAAAACATACGGATCTAGTCTTGGAATGATTCTTTCTCATGTAACAGTGGAACTGGCTGATTCTCGATCTTGGATTTACATCAAACTCCCACGCATGCAGACTTAAAAGCTCCCAACTTTAATTTTACTGCTACGAAGGTAATAAAAGTGTCTACCAGTTAAGCATCGGACTTTAACTGACTATAATTAGTACCTTGGTGTCTTTCCAACAATTATTCATAGTAACTTTATTGACCAAAACTAACACTTCCGAACACGTAAATGGAAGATCATAATTTTGTCTGATCTATGAGGAACCCTCATGTTCTTCTTGTGCAGTCACATTTTTTGTTCTCCTAATCCCAATTTCAATTGACTATGTAACTAATATGGTTATAATTAGTGCATTCAACAAATAAGTGTGCATTCAATGCATCTATACCCAAATTCACTTGAAACCAATGAGTAATGTCAACGTAAATCTGGAACGTGAATGTATGAAGCACATAGAGGACCTATAAAAACCAAACTAAATCATGCAACGGAAATTTATTGTTAGGTACATTTGGAATCTTGTGGTATAAACGATAAGAACCTGATTTAGAAATGACTCTTCCCCATGATAACTGAAAAACTAGCTGAGTCTCGGCTTCCATTTACGTCAAACATCAATGCATGGGGCTTAAAAGCTTCAGTTGCACTTTTACGGATTTACAAAAAACATAAAATGTCTGCCAATTTTGTCTAGAATCTTAATTGATTACGCTTGGTACCTTGAAATCTCAGGAACAATTATGCATAGAAACTCAACTGACTTAAAATTAACATTTCCAAACCCGTGAATCGAAAATAGTGAATGGAAATAATAAACATGAAGCCGATTTTTGCGGAGTTCCTTGCCATCTTCTGACCTCGTCACATTTCCTGTTCTTCTCCTTCTCCTAATCACAACTTCAATTATGAAATTAAAATGGTTACAATTAATACATTTGACAAATAAGTGGGCATTAATTGAATCTAAAACCAAATTCACTTGAAACCAACGCCTAATGTCATAATTAGTAGATCCAAATCATGCATCCCTACAGGCTAACAGGAAACCTAATGCAAATCATTTTTTTTCGCCTAAATCTATCAACAGCAGGCATCAAAAGCACTAAAAAACGTAAATATCAAGAATCTGCGACATCAAGAGATAGTAACAGTAGTAATAATTACGAATCCAGCTCAAGAGAGATCTACAGCAAAAGATCAAGCGACAAAAGCACCAACAAAGGGATCCATCGTTAAAGAATCGAATCCGAACCTCTCTTTGCGTTCCTGAATGTTCTTCATGTGAGATTTGTAGTGGTTTTCGATGTATTGCTTCGCTGCGGCGACTCGCTCCATAGAGATAGTAACAGTAGTAATAATTACGAATCCAGCTCAAGAGAGATCTACAGCAAAAGATCAAGCGACAAAAGCACCAACAAAGGGATCCATCGTTAAAGAATCGAATCCGAACCTCTCTTTGCGTTCCTGAATGTTCTTCATGTGAGATTTGTAGTGGTTTTCGATGTATTGCTTCGCTGCGGCGACTCGCTCCACTTGACTAACCAGATGACCATATCTACAAACTTACTTGACTCCAGCGAATACCTTTGAACATGTAGATTAATTAGAATTGTCAAATGATTGTATGTCGGGACTTGAATAGCAATAATCACTAATCAGTACATTTTTGGGAAAAGAATGGTAAGCCCTAAGAACCAAGAAATTGTGCAACAAAGGCATGTCCCATATAAAAAACTGCATATGTAGTTACTTCAATCAAGCACAAACACATGAACACTGCAAACCTATAAAATAACATGCCTATATTGGAGAGCAGCATCAAATGTCAGGACAACTGAATATATGAACTGCATAGTGAACCTCTAAGTAAATGGAATAAATCATGCAACGGAAATGTACTGTTTGTTCAGAGGAGAAAATAGATAATTTAGAATATTGTGGTATAAAACATACGGATCTAGTCTTGGAATGATTCTTTCTCATGTAACAGTGGAACTGGCTGATTCTCGATCTTGGATTTACATCAAACTCCCACGCATGCAGACTTAAAAGCTCCCAACTTTAATTTTACTGCTACGAAGGTAATAAAAGTGTCTACCAGTTAAGCATCGGACTTTAACTGACTATAATTAGTACCTTGGTGTCTTTCCAACAATTATTCATAGTAACTTTATTGACCAAAACTAACACTTCCGAACACGTAAATGGAAGATCATAATTTTGTCTGATCTATGAGGAACCCTCATGTTCTTCTTGTGCAGTCACATTTTTTGTTCTCCTAATCCCAATTTCAATTGACTATGTAACTAATATGGTTATAATTAGTGCATTCAACAAATAAGTGTGCATTCAATGCATCTATACCCAAATTCACTTGAAACCAATGAGTAATGTCAACGTAAATCTGGAACGTGAATGTATGAAGCACATAGAGGACCTATAAAAACCAAACTAAATCATGCAACGGAAATTTATTGTTAGGTACATTTGGAATCTTGTGGTATAAACGATAAGAACCTGATTTAGAAATGACTCTTCCCCATGATAACTGAAAAACTAGCTGAGTCTCGGCTTCCATTTACGTCAAACATCAATGCATGGGGCTTAAAAGCTTCAGTTGCACTTTTACGGATTTACAAAAAACATAAAATGTCTGCCAATTTTGTCTAGAATCTTAATTGATTACGCTTGGTACCTTGAAATCTCAGGAACAATTATGCATAGAAACTCAACTGACTTAAAATTAACATTTCCAAACCCGTGAATCGAAAATAGTGAATGGAAATAATAAACATGAAGCCGATTTTTGCGGAGTTCCTTGCCATCTTCTGACCTCGTCACATTTCCTGTTCTTCCTTCTCCTAAAATCACAACTTCAATTATGAAATTAAAATGGTTACAATTAATACATTTGACAAATAAGTGGGCATTAATTGAATCTAAAACCAAATTCACTTGAAACCAACGCCTAATGTCATAATTAGTAGATCCAAATCATGCATCCCTACAGGCTAACAGGAAACCTAATGCAAATCATTTTTTTTCGCCTAAATCTATCAACAGCAGGCATCAAAAGCACTAAGCCGCCGCCGCCCCCCCGCCGCTCTCTCTCTCCTCTCCTCCTTCTTCGTTGATCCTCTCCATCTCTCTCTCTAAGATCCTCGTCTTTGTTTCTCTCTCCTCTCTCTCTCTCTCTCTCTTTCTCTCTCTCCCTCTGTTTGAGCTCCTTCTCTTTATAATTTTTTTTCCTTTATTTTTTATTTATTTTTATGGCGATTGACAGATGGGCAAAGAGACGCAGCCGCCCCCCCGCCGCTCTCTCTCTCCTCTCCTCCTTCTTCGTTGATCCTCTCCATCTCTCTCTCTAAGATCCTCGTCTTTGTTTCTCTCTCCTCTCTCTCTCTCTCTCTCTTTCTCTCTCTCCCTCTGTTTGAGCTCCTTCTCTTTATAATTTTTTTTCCTTTATTTTTTATTTATTTTTATGGCGATTGACAGATGGGCAAAGAGACGCAGTCAGATCGAGAGCAAACGGAGAGGCTTCGGTTCAGGTGTTTTGAGCTCGACTAACGGGTTCCGCAGGGACAGGTTAACAGGCCAGGCGTGAGAGCTCGCGTGGATTCCAGGTCATATGGGGCCCATTGACCAGACGGTTGAAAGAAAGTCGAGGGAGTGAAGTGAACTAGGTTGGGCTGCAAGGTGCCTTTTGCAGTGTCTGGCAATTTTTAAAAAAACTGCGTCAGACTTAAACTTGGCTTAGTTTTATTAGGCTAAAATTTGGGCCACAGTTGGCCTTGTTTTATTAGGCTAAAATTTGGGCTTTAAATTGGTTCTAGTTTGGACATGCCTCTTGCTAGTCCAATCTAGAACTAGTTTAGAATAGAACTGGACTAGGTTAAGACCTAGCCTACCTTTCAGCCTGTTGTCATACAGATCCTAAATTTATCTTTGATTTTGTATCAAAACCATTTTAAAATATAACAAATCAATATAAGTTAGTTTTCAAGTTTTTCACACATAACAACCTAATAAATAAGTTGAGGACAATTTCTGTTTAAATTTTAACCCAATTACGCAAAATCTCTTCCTTCGTTCTCCCTTCTCATACATCTCATCTCCACCCTCCTACATCTCATCTCCGCCCTCCTCCTCTTCTACCCATGCCCCTTCCTTCTCCCTCCACCCTCTGCTCTCATCATTCGGTGCATCTCCTTCATCCTCCTCTCTCCTTCATTTCGCTTTCACCTTCCTATATCCTTTTTCATTGTGCTCGTTCCCCTCTCTTCTGTCTCATCTCACCCGCCTTCCTCTTCTCTCATCTCAACCATGTTTGTTGAGATGGAGGTGAGGTGAATAAAGGAGGAAGAAGAGATGAGGCTAGAGGTGGGATGGGGCGTTGAGTGGATAAAGAGGGTATTTTTATAGTTATGGTAAAATTTAAACTGAAATTACATAAGGGTTGTTGATTGAAAGCTAAAATCCACTAAGTGATTTGTGTATCAAAAGAACTTGAAAGATGGTTGTTATCGATTTGGTCTATTTTTAAATGTCGTTTTCATGAAAAAAAAATCCTTTCACTTTCACTCTATATTAACTCATATTGTGGTTTAAAATAATTACAAAAGGGCATAATGATTTTATTAAATTTATTTTCTTTGAAGAAAGAAGATTTTTATTTCCTTATCATTAGAAGGATATAGTTTCATACAACTAAACATAATCTTTAAAATCTTAATTAGTTAAAGAAAAAACTCATAATCCTCTCTCAAGAACTGACTAAAAAAACCAAACTTTTATTTCGCTCTTGTTCCTTTTCTTGCAATAAATTTTTTTTACTATATTTTGTATCTTGATTATGTTTACATACAAATACTTGGATCTTTCTTGAAACATATTTAGACATACATATTGCATCGTGAAAGGGTTAAAATATTGAACAAATTTCATGTAGATCAATCTCTCTCCCTGATCTAGATTTCAGGTAATACTCTTACTCTACTCTATGTTTGATAAAAGCTTTCTATCATTTCATATACCAGACTTTTAGCCCGTGCTAAGCATGATCTTACTGTAATTCAACAATATTTCATCATGCTCTAATCAATTTCACCAAAAGAATATAAAATATACAGTGACATACCTCTTTTTTCGAAGCACAAAAAAATTCCCCCTGATTGATGTACGAACATACATCCCTACCTAAAAAATCATGATAACGTTAAAATTATATAACACTATAATTAATTGTGTTAAAGTTAATCTAAGTCTGCAGATTCTAAAATCAAGTTGCGTACAAAAAGTTAAGATCACTTAACCCAAGTTGGCATCACTTAACCCAATTTTTTCATATGAAATGAATAAATAAAAGAAGACACAAAACATGATTCAAAACGCAACTTGTCCATACTTAAAGAAATAAAATGGTTTCATATTCAAAGACATTATTAGTGAATGATTCATTGCGAAACAAATTAAAAAGTTCTCTATTAATCAACAACTCAAAACATGTAATAATTAATATTTTAAGAAATGCTCCTTTGATTTTCAATTATTTTTCCATGTCTTAATCCTATTCTTCAAAGTTGCAAGAGCATGCTCTTTATTAATGTCAGCAAGATGTAAAACATGTAATAAATGTAACATAATAGTATTATACCATAAATAAAGTTATTTTATAAAATATCTACCTAATTGTATCCTTATTTTGCGACTGGTCGTAAGTGAGGTTTTAAATGCAGAAAAGTCTATTGTACCAATACATGATATATTAAAAATCTTCTTTTTTTCTTTTGCTATTATTGTCGATATTGGTGTGGATAAGTCTGAATTTAATTCATCAGATTGATTATCAATTATACTATCTTGATTCAATTCAATTAGTTTCTTCTCTTGTGATAGTAATAAATTCATCTTAGAATAACAAAAGCATGATTTAATTTTAAAAATAAACACACAAATATTAAATATATGAAAATGCTTCTTTTCGATATTTTTATCAGATGTAGTTTTAGGTGTCGATAAGTCTGGAGTATATTTAATGGATTGAATATTATCACCATCAAGCTGTGCCAATTCAAGGGCTAGTATTAGAACAACAAGCATGTGATATAAAATTATAGATGATGGTTTAATTATTTGGAATATCAAAGCTCTACTTGTTCATTAATTAGCAACAATAATCTTTTGAGTTTCTCATCATCCACATCATTATCAACGATTTTAATAACCATGTAATCTTAAATGCATCTACTTGTGTTAATTGCTATACGTTTTATATGGATACACATCTTTTTATCAATTAATATCTTGATAGTGAGCAGAAGGTCCATGTTTTCTCCATCATTTT